TGAAGTCCCATAAGGCTATTTTAAAACCATTCAACAGATCGTTCAGCAAAACTTTAATTTACGTTATTTCCAATCAGCAACTTTTAATTGAGTTAATTTGGAGAATCTGATAAGCAGACTCGAAATATTGGACCTTCCATCAATAAAGCATAAAAGTTTTTGACAACTCTGTATATGTAGGCTAATCTTTTCGGAATGACACTTCAGCTTCGCGTGGCACTGAAGTTATGAGACTTGATAACTATTTTCAGATTAACTTCGTTTGCATTAGACTGGGGATTACTTTGAATTGCAAATGACAGCTCGAGCGTTTAATTAGAAGCCAAAGAGCGTCTAGTGATTCCCATTAAGCAGAAATTGCCTCTGTTTGTGGTTCACGGGAAACTGTCGAGTCGACGGGGCTAACATGACATTGTCGACGACATAGATATATCGACATACTGACCTTTAACCTCGAAAATAGGTTAAGAAAAGTCTACATCAATCACGAAGAAAAAGAAAATAGATCGTTAAAGTGAAACAAGGAATCGGCCGATACTTGATGAAAATCCATAACGTATTCAAGAAACACTTTATTATGAGATTTTCACAACAGAGGTTGTTTGATGAAACTCACCTGTTAAATTTGTTAAAATATCTTTGCTACAGTGAAATATTCAATAGTATGTAGTGCTTCTACCGGAGAGAAAGTTATTAAAGCGCTTGAAAAGATGTTAGTCGGTTGGCGAGAGGTCTGGGAGGTATAGTGGGTGAGGCAGTTCTTCGACTCCCAATTAGTTCAGAAAGAACAGACCTTGAAACGTGACAATTTCTGTCGATCGTTCAAGTCGTGGGGCACCCACTTTTAGAGCTTTTCGACCTCTCCATCAAAAACCACATGATAGCTGGCGCCCTGTTCCTCCGCCATCCCACGCACCGTTTGTGATCGATCAGTTTTCCTCAAATCCTCGTCCTGGACTACTGTAGGTCGACCACTTCGGGGCTCATCTTTGAAGCTAAAATCTCCAGAACGAAATTTCGCAAACCAACGTCGAACAGTGCGTTAGATTAACACTGCCATTGCTGAATACCTGGAATTTTCGGCAGTACTTTGGTTCAATTTGAATTTGGTCAATCTGACGCTAAACGTCATCATATGACTGTAACCTACAGTTTGTATTCCATCTTATCTTTATTATTACACGCTTTATATTAGCTTGTAACTCTCCTTTTCATTTCATATCGGGATCTGTCAAGAATGTCATCGTCATTTCATCCAGGTTTGGAGACCAGCTCCCCTACCCTTTTGGCTGATTGCCTTGTTGGTCTTGAGAAGGACTAATGGGTTCATGACTGAATTGGTGACGGCATGAAGTCCTTAGACATCAGTGCCGCCCTTCACGGGATACCGCTACCTGGCTGGGGTGGGATGGATGAAAAAGTTATTCATCTGTTAACGGGGGACATGAGGGCCTCATTCGACAGAGTGTCGGGGCCTTCTATATCGGGAGGGGTCGTCTACAGCATAATCTGTGGCTTCCCTAACTAACGGGATCGGGATCTGTGTTTGACAGAATTATCGACATTATTGCTTGATCTATTCGTCGTACATATCTCAATACTTTATCCAATAGTTAATGAGTTTACATTCTGCCATCCTCATGATCATTATATGAATCTTCCAAAGGTTCAAGGGTTTATGAATTTGAACTTGATTGAACCCAATTATGTTATCAAAACGTATACAATCAGAATTATCCTTTGTAACACGACACACAGACTCTTGTCGTATATCGAAGTTTGTAAAACACCAATGTATAAATAAAAGTTTAATTAACCCGATCTACAGAATCAGTTCTTCGTTCCTCAAAAATTGGTTCACAACAATAAATCACGAGACAGTAGAATGAATATTTATTGATATATGGAGCTACAAAAACACAAGACATTAGATCGGACAAAACTTTTCCACACAATCCAAATGACACGGCACAAAAGAACTTTATATGTGACTCCATCCATCCTCTAATTCCAAACCAAAAGCATCAACCTCCTGTACATAAACTTGAATCGAAGTCATAAAATTGGTCTCGAGTCGACCCGACTTCGGGAGTGGTGTGCCATAAAACAATGGAAGATTTTCATTCGAAAACTAATCGAGGAACTCCTTCATTTTCGCTATGCCAGCGTTTATCCCACCTATCGGAAAATAGATCAAAGACTTCGGAATTTCATAAAAGATCTGGGACGCATACTCATCCAGGATAGACGTTCTCAGTAGAAAGAAGACGTGCGGAGTTCTAAATACACAGAATTCTTTCAAAATGAATCACGAAAAATTGATGATCCTTTTTATTATTTTATCACGCTTTTATTAGCTTCACCTGTATGTATGTATGTATGTTTGATTAATTCACTTCAACCATTCAACTTACTTCCTTTTCACGAAAGCATTCAAAAGGATAAATAATTCCCTCGGTTCCGAATTAATATTATCTCCACGCGATGGTAAACACATGCAATTTTCTGGTGCTTTCGAAGTGATAAATCATTTTTCGTTGTTCTGGGAGACAACCTGCAATTAGGGTAGATCAGGGTATTAACCCCGTATGCGGTATTCGTGAAGAGGTTCGTTCTTATCAGTAGGGCTAAAACATTCTTTATTCGTTTTTTGCACATCATAAAAACTGAAGATGGTATTGCAGAGAAGCGTAAATGTTGAGCTATGTATTTTTGCTTTAGGAGGTATTGGTGTAACTAGGATAAAAGTCTAGGGAGGGCTACAGCCCCCAGGAGTTCAGAGGGAATAGAATACCCCTCAGAAAGTTATGGGGTAGGGGTGGGGATGAAATTGTTTTGTTTCTTTGATGGTTCCAAATCGCATTTTCAATATTATTTTTGTCAAAAAATCATTCAAGGGCTAACTANGCCTGTTGAAACCACATGTCGTTGGTGACCAGATCATCCAATTCAAGCCAAGAGAAGTTGGTAATCGGTGACTCATGGTGCTCGCCGTTGACAGTGATGGTCTGGCCAACATCATTCTCAAAACTCAGACAAAATGGATTCAGACTTGAAAAATAATTTCCTCTCCTCAGTTTTAAAAGTATGCATGAGGAATGAAGAGTTCCATGAGACATATTTTCTTGGGCCAGACGGGAACTCCACTAGCTATTAATTCACTTCAACCATTCAACTTACTTCCTTTTCACGAAAGCATTCAAAAGGATAAATAATTCCCTCGGTTCCGAATTAATATTATCTCCACGCGATGGTAAACACATGCAATTTTCTGGTGCTTTCGAAGTGATAAATCATTTTTCGTTGTTCTGGGAGACAACCTGCAATTAGGGTAGATCAGGGTATTAACCCCGTATGCGGTATTCGTGAAGAGGTTCGTTCTTATCAGTAGGGCTAAAACATTCCTTATTCGTTTTTTGCACATCATAGAAACTGAAGATGGTATTGCAGAGAAGCGTAAATGTTGAGCTATGTATTTTTGCTTTAGGAGGATAAAAGTCTAGGAAGGGCTACAGCCCCAAGGAGTTCAGAGGGAATAGAATACCCCTCAGAAAGTTATAGGGTAGGGGTGGGAATGAAATTGTTGTGTTTCTTTGATGGTTCCAAATCGCATTTTCAATATTATTTTTGGCAAAAAATCATTTAAGGGCTAACTAAAACCAACGATTTTTTTTGTATTGTTCGGACAATCATATGTGTAGGGTAGTAGCTAAATACCATCATTGCCGCTCTTCTGGTTCCATATGAAAAGTGTATTTGTATCTGTAGAGAGTGTCTAGATCTGTGAGAGTGTAAGCCCACAGCACTTAGGCCAAATGTGACCCATTGTACATCCTCCCGAGGAGTTGTCCTTCTAGGTCATCGTCCATCCTGTCCTTTCCAGGAAGGTGGACTGGTCACTGGGAGACCTCTCCTTTATATCGGCAGGTGTAGGCCAAGACTCGACGAATACACACACTGTTATTGACGATAACTCCGGGCACTCGCATAAAACATGCCTGAAAGTCCCATCTTCCTGTTCACACATCCTGCATAGAGGTGTGTCCACTAGCCCCATATTATGGAGGTGTTTCCTTAGTTGACAGTGGCCAGTCAGAAATCCTACTGTTAAGCGTATATTTTTCCTGGTCATCGCCATATATTTCTTCGGCGCCAGCTTCCCAGGGTCGCCCAAGGTGATCCTGGCAAGATTACATCCTTTGGTTTCATTCCATCTCTTTAGGGATTGAGCACGGGTGTAACATTTGGCTTAGTCCAGCCGCTTACTTGGCTTTGCCCCGGAACCGGAAGAAATTGAGGATGACATGAGAAAACTCAGAAAGGTTAACTGTGTACTGTGTACTGGCGACTGTGTACAGATTAAGGACGGATAGACGTCCACTGTACATGGTCGTCACAGACAAAGATGTTACCCTCAACTATTTAAAAAGAAACGTCCCATGTGTCCTTTTTACGAGGATCACATGGGAACTCAAACGAAATACCAGAAAGCTGGTGCAGTGTCACAGGTGCCAGCTATGGGGCCACGCGACGAGCAATTGTAATGTACACAAAAAATTTACACATTTTATTTTGCCTTTCGCCAGGAAATTTCTACACAGTTCATTTTTTATTATGTTCTGTAGGTCCAGTGTAACTTTTTTTATGACGACTAGATACCAAAAAAAGAATTGTTCATTTGTAACTTGTGTATAATATTTGAAATAAAAAATCTTGAAATCCTCCTATGATATTAATAAGTCACTATATAGCTCCATTTTGATAGAGCTTTAGTCCTTCGTTAGGGCACTTCAGGATATGTCTTTATTTGATAGTTTCATCATATAATTAGATTTAGAATCACCAACTAAAACATTCCAATTGAGAAAATACTTTTATCTAGTTATCAATAGTGTGAGCTGCAGTAATCGTTACTATCACTATTATCATCACTGTCTAACCTCCCTGAAGATTGTTTCTACCACTTCCTCAATCCAAAAATAGCAAAAATGATAACTCACCTCCTATAATTGAAAACGAAATTGTCACTTTTTGTAACACTGCAAGACCTATTTTACGTGTTTAGGCCATACGG